GCCAATCAAAACCCCAGCCGGCCTGCCACGTTCACCTCATCCTTTCGTCTCTCTCAGCAGCAGGTTGAGTCTCCTTTAATGAATTGAAAATTTGATTATATTGAGTAGAAGTGGGATTGGTTCTAACTGGGTTTCTCGTCTTAGGCCTTTTTCATCATGCTAATATCTAAAGTTGTGATGAAGGTTGAGTATTATAGTTTCATCGTCTAAGATGTATCTGGTTGGCTGGGCTCCCCGTTGATCGGTTTTAGCTGAGCTCGATCGTGTAGCGATCAATTTTCAAAAGTCCGTTTTAAATTCATAACGCTAGACTAGGAGGTCAACAAACGGTCGGTCTGGTCGATTTTGACTTTTTTTCGTCAAACCGAACTAAATCGAGTTAGATTGCAAACTAAATCGAACCCTGTTAAATCGGTTCGGTTTATTCAGCTTGACCTTAGACATACAAAGTTAGAGGATTCTTTGCTAAAAGGCGAGATTACTATTCCTTCAAACCTTTCACTCGTGTCAAATCTAAACCAAAAAGAAAACTAGTAAAATCACCGAATTTGCAAACTAAATTTAAACATTTATTATATTATATTCTACTATATTGTAGTCAAGCTAATATATTAGTAAGATTTATTAAATAATATAAAACATCTTAAAAATATATAACAATATTAATATAATAGTAATTATATAGTAAATGTAATATAATATATGGAATAAATAATATATTATATAATAAATAATACAATATATTATAAAGCAAAATAAATTTTTAATACTAAAATAAATTATTGCCAATAAAGGGTAATGTAACATTGATATATTCATAATATAATAATATTTATTTATATCATTAATTATTAATATATTATTAAAGTATTATTAATAAACACTAACATATTATAATCTATAATGTATTATATAGTGTTAAAATATTTATAATATTCTATAATATATCAATTTATTGATTATATGCTAATAATAACATAATAGTAATATTAATAATATAGTAATATTTTTATAATATATTATATTATAATTGATATATAATATATTACTAATTTTGTTTAATACTAATGTTACAATTGATCAAACTAGTATTGACCAAAAACACTCAATATGGTGTTTTGAAAATACTTTAGCCATTGTGTTTTTTTTACATAAACACAACAAATTAAGAAAGCGTCATCGTATCCAAACGGAGCCTAAAATATTCAATTGAAAGTACCTATGAAGAAAATCTATGTAAAAAAATCATGGTTTTACTTTTATTCATTTTTTTTCCCCTGGTCACTAAATCACCCACTGTCAGTTGTCACACACATGAAAAGGGTGGGGGAGAAAATGAAACCACAATTTCAACCGCTTGTTCTTATAGAAACGCAACTTAAGAGAGAAAGAATCATGTTAACGTTACTTTTGATTTTTAGAAAGAAACAAAGATAAGACTATAGAGATGCTTATACGCGGTCGCACGAGGGAACACACAGAACCCAAAAAAAGGACTTGGGAACTTATCGCCACTCATTCCAACTCAGCTTCCCAAACAGTTTTAATTCAGAGCCACGCGTTTGTTCCATGATCCAAATTCCAAAACGAGCTTGGGACCCCCACTGGGATTGACTTGACATAAATCTAAAAACTTTGACATATACAGACTTTATGCGATATACAGATTTTACGTATGAGCGGAGCGTTCTGAACCATAAAACGAAGAAAGTAACCTTCAAATAGCCATCTTAACCTCTTTTTGTTACTATTTTGACTCGTACCGCAAAATTTGAAATAGGAAACATGCAGTAAAAAAAAGACCATAATTCAATTGGACCGTGAATCAAGACTTGTTATTTGAATCCTATTGCGAGTGAATATCTTGAATCAACCGCATGATTCAGGACAATTAAGGTTGCTATCATCCACCTATTTGCTTTTGGTGAGATTACGGATTTAGTTTCCTTCAACATTTAACTTATTCGTCCGGTGCGTTCTTTTTTTTTATTCACTGAAAGAAGCTCTCTCTAATTTAAAAAAAAAAATATGTAGTGTAGGCCCCATCACTTATCCTTCACTTGTGACAACAAATATTTAATAAAACAGCAGAAGAAATCTCGAAGACATGAATTGCGATTAGTTAATCAACAGAATTATGCTCATCGGATCCCACTCTAAATAATTTAAATTAAAATATCAGAATCTTGCTCAAGATATTTGATTCCACATTAGCATCACAACATTTCGCTCAGCGCGGCAAAAATGTTGACAAGGTGATAACACCCCACACAATGTGTACATTGAATCTATCATCTATCCAGAGTGAGCTCGGTCTGACGACCGATTCTTACACGGGAAACAGGGGGCCTTCTTCGGGATATCATATAGGAAGTCGGGCGTACATCTGGTGCATTATGAACATCGATGCACGTATCAACAATGTCTATTGATGTGCTTAGTACATCATTATTAGTATAGATAATGTAAAGTACAATAGGAATCCTCAGCATGATATTGTGCAGGAGATAAAGTAGAATATGATGCTTGACGTATTATGAATATTGATGCATATATTATATTATTAATGTCTGTCGACGTAGTTATCTGGTTATCAATACAATCGGTAACAGAGATATATATTAACAAAACGTTTAAACTATCTTCAAATTGAAAATTAGACATAACAAAGTCCAAATACTCTTTTTTTTTCTTAAGAGCATGTTTGCCAAATATCTCAAAAGTGACTCATAAGCCCCGTTTGAGATGTTTGGCAAATGGCTTATACTGATCTATAATCCACCAAAAATAGCTTATTTTTCAGTAGATTATAAGTCGTAATGTTTGACCAAGTAAAAGGTATACGCTCATCATTTCACAAATTTTCAAGCCTTGCTTTTCTTTCCTTCTTTTTTTTTCTCCGGGTAGATTGTAAAGCATGCCCCTTTTAGTCATTTGTACGACAATGATGGGTTATTCAATATGCCAAACAAATCTATATTAAAAATGGAATCTATAATCCATTAAATTTAGCAGACACTATAGTTCATCTACTCCTCTATACTTATAAGAATCCAAATATTCAATATTCATACTACAGTAAATGCTACGGTGAATTACTTTGATATTATTACTGTAACTCAAATAGAATACTGTATTACTTAAAAAAAATTACGATTACATTAAAAAAAACAATGTTATTTAAAAAAAATTACTGTAACAAAAACAAAAAAAGACAAGCAGGCCGTGCTTTGCAAGGGTGCACACTAGTTAGATTATAATCTAAAGTTGCTAAGACATATACGCACACACCCAAATCAACCAACCCCCCCCCACCCATCAGCCATATAAAACCAGGCGGCTTCAAAAATATCATATGACCATTACCCTTTCCGCATCACAATAATTGCATAGCGCACTACCTTCCGCATCCAATAATTGCATAGATAGAGAGAAAGACAATTAAATAAAATAAAATAAAGAAAAACAAAATAAAAATGAAAAGTACCCAAATCGAAAGTATAAAATACTCTTTTCATCTTCGACCCAATTTCCCGCAACCCCCTCCAAGTCCCACCCTTAACCACCCTCTCCACCCTTACCCCCCCCCCCCACCAACCCCCCAGCCTCGCATAATGAGCACGGCGACTCGGAGCTTCCGCCACTGGCGCCCTCACCTCGCCGACCAAGCAGAAGAAAAAGAATAACCCGCCCAAATCCCTCGTGATCCCCGCCACCACTCCACCTCGACCCTCATCTTCCTCCCCTCACGTCTCCGTCAACTAACGGCGGCGTAACCAGCTCTCCCCGACTCATCACCCCGTGCCCCACCCCTCAACCCGGCGCCGCAACTCCCCGTCGGCCGCGCCGTCGAGATCCGGATCCGGAATCGCCTCGTGAAGCAAGCGGCCTACGCTTACCTCCAGCCGACCGCCCTCGACGACCGGAGGCCTCCAGACGCCGGCGGTGCAGGTGGCTCGATCCGGAGAGCTCTGGAAGCTTGTTTCGGGTTTTCGGGCGGTTTCTGCGCGCGAATTCGGATCCGAAAGAGGAGGTGACGTAACGGTGACGGCGTTGGAATCGCGACGGAGGGTACGTTTTTTTTCTAGCCTTTTCCCGGGTTTGTCGTCTGTTGGCGTTTCGCTTTTCATCGGTTTTTGTTCTTTTTTTTAGCGCGTGTAAATAAACAGACGGTAGATAGAGACAAAAGGAGAAATAATGGAACTTAATTCTGAACCTAAAAAAAAAAATGAATTTTTTTTTTTCAGCGTGATTTATTTCTTAAGCCACACGGTTCCAAAATCACTTCCAAATATAACACCTAAGCTCATTTATTTGAATCCAGAACTATGTTAGTCTTTGCTATACTTATAACAAATGTCAAAACTATTTTTCCACTGCAAGAAACAAAAAGTGAGAGTACTTTTTTTGGGGATTTACTTAAAAATTGATGAGCCGTCAAGAACCGCACAGATTTGTTTCTTGCGGTAAAGGCTAATCTGGTATTTACAGTCCAATTACCACTACTCCGCGGGTATTGCCAGGAAAAGGTTAAAACCACGTAGGAAAAAAATTTGCTGACGGCTAGGTTACAATTTCTAACTGATATCTAGAAATTTATGTACAACGGGGAATTTGAGAATTTGAATTGAGGGTGGACGTTTTTTTTTTTTTTTTACGTTTTCCTGCGGAATCGAGGTAGATTAATGCGGGAGTTGCGAAGGGCTTGCTCGACTTCAGGGTTGAGGTGTAGCTCGTCTGCGGTGACTTCCGTGAAGTCCCGATATACGCTTCCCGACGATGATGATTCCGAAGTGGAGGAGGACGGGTGGTTTGCCGATCGTCTGATCGTTATCGGATGCGGCGGTGCTGATGGTTCCGGCTGCCCCGGTGGCTGCAGTGCAAAAGATAAGCTGTTATTTGGATTGAATGAAGCTAATGTGAAATTAACTTTATGGGCTATCTTTGCAAATAGAGAGATTTGGAGGGTATTTTTGCGAAGTGTTTTTTTTTTTAATTCCAAGGTTCCAATCACCATTTACTTTTAATTCTCCTGCCCAAATTCCATTTGATTTTCTGCCAAATTTGCATTACATTTTGGTCCATCTTGCCTAGCTGGTAGAGATCCAAATAACTAAAATGTTTCAAGCCTGTAGAAAGGGGTTACCACGTGCCAAATTTGTTTTACATTTTCTGCCAAATTTCATTTTAGAATATATAGGGGTAAACTTTGGATTTATGGGGAAAAAAATCATAGTAAAACTTTGGAAATGGATGAGTTTAAAAATTAATGAGGTAAAACTTGGGGCTCATATACATAAAAGAAACACACTTTGGGAATGGCTGGGTTTCAAGATAAACGGAAGGAAACATTGAACTTCTAGGGAAGAAAACAAACAATTATTTTTGGTTGGAAATGGATGAGTTTAAAAATTAATGAGGTAAAACTTTGGGCTCATATACATAAAAGAAATACACTGTGGAAATGGGTGGGTTTCAAGATAAATGGAAGGAAACATCGAACTTCTAGGGAAGAAAACAAACAATTATTTTTGGTAGGGGACTGTACTGAAGGTATGAATAGCGAAATGAAGGAATGAATAGTGAAACTACAGTAATAACACCCGATAGATTTAGTTTAACATTACAGTAATAACGCCCGATAGTGAAAACTTTTACATAATCATCGAAGAATTTTGGTCCATTCTGATATTCTTAAATTTAGTTCCTCTAATCATTACATCAAAACTCTGAAATTATGGTGATGATCAAGAATTATAGCTTTAAATTAATTCTAACATGCCCGCAGGTTGAGCGTCATTTTTCATGGGTCGAAACCTAGACTCACGCAGTGGGGTCAATGTTTAAAAAATCCGCTTTTAATTCGTGACCGGTAGGATTTAAACATGTGTTGCTCTTCCTCTAACAATTAAATTAACACTCCAAAGTTATAGTGAGAATCGATGATTATAGATTTAAACATGTGTTGCTCTTCCTCTAACAATTACACTAAAACTCCGAAGTTATGGTGAGAATCGATGATTATAGATTTATATTAATTCTAAGAAAGATAACATCAAAAACTTTAAAATGACGCCTAACATCAAACTGTCAGATAACCACCGTTTAACACAATGTTTTTGGTATTCAGTTCTAAAAGTTTTTGGTGTATCTTATTTGAATAGTTATGTGAAATTTACCAAATTTTTTTCGACATGTGGAAACTTGAAATTATGCTGGTTTAAATGTACCAGAGTAGAGTAGATGATGAATAACGTCAAAGGTACAAGATCTTAACATCGTATATGAAAGTAACTAGATGTTTACAATTAGCAAAACTTATAAGCACATATGTGGAACTCAAGTGATTCACAATGGCTGTTTAAAAACTTACAGTCAACATCATCAGCTATTCAAGTAACTGGAGTAATCAGCAAGTAATCAAAAGTAGGAAACTGGTAATTTTCCGTTTGAAAACAATCTAAAGCATTCAAATCTTAGAAACATATTACTCTAAAAACATATCACTCTCTCATTTCTGAACTACATTCTTAATTTGTAATGGTGATCCCTTACCTTTCACTATCAGGTTTTCAATCAGAGTTTCCATCTTTCATAATATAGAAGACCAATGAGAAATAGTTCGATTGGAAATTAACATCTTAACAAAAATGCATTCAAATTCACTCCAGTATGGATAGGTAGTAGGAGAATACATTTCTTTACTTAAAAATCATTTAGTATTTAGTGAACAATTATGATGTCTTAAATAAAAAATGATAATGAATGGAATTCATGAGAGCTATGAAATGAAGCATGACCATTTAACATATAACCTAAAATAGACATCAAAGTTGGAAGATATAAGCATGAACCTAAGTCTGTATCATATTCCAGATTTTGAACAGGTCATAGTCACGTGTCTGTTGAATAGCAAGTTCCTAATATGTTTCCTAATTTATTTTGGTAACAGGTCATTTGGATTCCTAATATGTTTTGGTAACAAGTTATTAGGATTCCTAATCTGTTTTGATTTTGATTTTAGAATTCCTAGTATGCTTTTGGTTTTAAGATTTCTATATATATAGGAACACGTTTTAGGTTTGGGGAGCAGCGAAGGGGATATTTGGAGCACAGAAAAGAGGTATTTTCTGAGTTACCTCTTTTCTGAGCTATTGATTAGGGTTTTGTTTGGAAAGAATTAAAGCTTTGTTGGTGAGATTAATTGGTGAGTTTGTTTGATTTTGTAATCTCAGTTTGTACTCTTCTTCTCTATTAGTGAAAACCACATCCCCTTTTTGCTCCGTGGACGTAGGCAACTTGCCGAACCACGTTAAAATTAGTTGTTTGAGTTTGTGCCGTTATTTTGTATTGTTTGGCCTTCTCTAGGCGTTTGTTTGATTTGGTCTCTCGAAGCACATCGGTTTGGTTTGGCTTCCGCCGCGCACAACAAGTGGTATCAGAGCCCAACAGTGTCATATTCCAAGTTGACATGCTATGTTCTATCTCTCACCAGTTCAAAATTGGCGCACCTCATACAACATATAAAACCAAACAAGCACCTAGCTAACTGTCATAATTATGGTAGCTAGTTCTTCCAATACTAAATTCAAGGGTTAGTTTGAATATTTATAATATCATGGTGTTTATATTGTATTTTAATGGTTCAATTATGGTTTGTATAATGTTAGGTAATCTCGCTAGTATTGGGTTGTAACTAGAAAGCAGCCGTCAAAATTTAGACAATTGGCAGTCTTAGCTTATAAGCAATCAAAAACATTCAAATTTCAGAAACTTCGCTCTCCAATTTCTCAATTACATTCTTCACTTGCCATGGTGGCTGCATCAGTCTTCACAATTAGGTTATCTACATCCAATTTCTATTTTCCAAAGCGTATAAATCCAACTGGGAATTAACATGGTCACATGGTAACGGTATCCCAAAGTCTTTGTCATACCCCAAAAATTGAACAAGTCACATAGTAACGGGTCATATTGTAAGTTGATATATTATACCTTGCACCTATCACCAATTAATTCAACTCTGGTCAAACTTTTACATAATATTCAATCCCACACGCATTGAGGTATCAGGTTCAACGTTAGTTGTTAGATTCAAACTTCTAGTACTAAAATCAAGGTTCCATTTGAATTTAACACCTGCTTATTATGATGCGCAATAATTGTTCAATTATGGTTATTATAATGTTTGATTGTGAGGTCATCTGACGACACCAAGAACCAAGAAAACCAACAAACTAAACCAAAAAAATTGTGAGAAATTGGAACATACCTGTAGAGTCGAGGATGATGACCCAGCTGGCTGCGAAACAACCATATGAAGAAGCTCTAGAAACATAGATTTACCCTGATCTGTGAAATTCTTGATGTAGAACATCAAAAGGTCTGCCGATTTAGCTCTAAATCTCTTCAATTTCTCTTCAATGTCCGGTTCGTGCTGCACAACTAATGGCCTCAGGAACGCCGCGTAGACCCAACTCGTTCCCTGATCAAATAATTCAAATTTTCAAGAGATATTCTTGGGTACATTGCAGCTAACCCCTTGTCTATATTAGCACTTAGCACCCCGGATTGCCAATTTTAGAAGGATAAAATCGCAGAATTGAGGGGTTCCAAGTGACATTGTAAGAGCTAAGGGGGTGTTAAGTGCAACTAAATATATGTACGAGGGGGCTTTTATTAATTTGTTCACCTTCGTCTTTGGATGCCATAGGTAAATGAAGAATGCAAGCTTGGTCTCGGCGTACAATGGTAACCTAAGAAAAATTAGAAATAAACAAAATAATTAAGCATCAAAATTTTATATTCTCTTTATCAATCCAAAGAAAATCAATAAATACTGCGATTACCATGAGACGAATATATCAAAGATCCTCTCGAACACCGTCAAGATGGCAACAATCACCCTAAAAAAATATTCAAAAAATAAAAAAAAACCACTAAAATTTATAACTAAAATTATCTGAACAGGATCAAGATCTAGTAGAATTTTACCAGTATTGGCACCAGAAATGGAGCTGCCCTACATTAATCTGGGTCATCTCCATCGCTTTGAAACACTCAAACGCAGGATAAGCGTATCCAAGCATCAACCTGAACAAAATCCCCCCCAAAAATCAAACAAAATTTTAAAATTCGAGATCAAAACCAAGAAAATCGAGATCAAGAACTCACACGAGAACTCTCGTCACGAATTCGTTCAACATTCTTAGCTCGAGATCCGAGATCAAGCAGATCGCGAACTCCGATTACAGAGAATCTCGCTAAATTTCGGGGGAGGACGAAAAAAACTCTCCTCTTTTTCTTTTTCTTTATTTTTTCGCCTTTGATTTCTGTGGTTTTATGTGCGGAGATTGGGAATCGCGTCAAGAGAGAGAAGCGGTTGCTTTGCTTGCCTTGGACGATTCCCGCCTTTAATTAATAGAAATTTGGATAATTGAAGGGTTAATAAAGTTCTAAGGATCTCTTGGAATCAATATGTATCATGGTTAATTACTGTACTAACCTTGTTTATTGATGGGGGCGGTGATGAAAGTGAGGGCGTTTTTGTAATTGAGGGTTGTTCTGCTAGGAAGTGGATATAATGAGTAAAGGTTTTATAGCCGGACCATGTAAAAAGCGGGCATTATTCGTCCCAATATTGCAAATCTTATGGGGTAAATTTCACAAAACCCCCCTTGAACTTTAGGATCATTTGCACAGAAACCTCTGAACTTTGGAAGTCAGATAAATCTGCCTGAAGTTTGAGAGTAAAACCCATGAACTTTCAAGAAGTTCCATGTGAACTTTTTGGCAAATTCTATTTTAGGATTCGTTGAGGAAAAAAGAATAAAGGAAAATGGGAAACGAATTTTGTGAAACTCACCAAGTTTTTTGGCAAATTCTATTCTAGGATTTGTCGAGGTTGTATGTTTTATTTGAGGGTGTGTTTGGTAATCAATGCAATTTTCTTATTGTGATTTTGTAGAAAAACACCATGCCAATGTGTATTTTTTTTCAAAAGTGTTTTGAAAACACCATTTATAGTTGTTGGTCAAACTAGTTTGACCATTTATATAACGGCGGCGACGGGCGGGCAGCGACGAGCGACGGGTGGAACTACGACCAATCAGTGGCTGGACGAGCAGAAGCGGGTGGCCACCGACGTGCGGGTGGCGGCGGCCGGCAGGTGGCTAGCTGACGAGCCGACAGCGGCGGCGGCGGGCGTCGAGAGACGGCGACGGAGTGGCGGTGGGCGCAGCGGACGTTAGTGGCGGGCGTGCGGTCGACGAACCGGCGACAGCGCGACGGTGGGTAGCAGCGGACGTCAGTGGCGACGGCTGGCGGCGCACGACGACGGGCCGGCGTCAGTCGGCGACGACTTAGGTGAAAAAAAACATGATCTCAAAACACATTTTTGGTGTTTTTGTTATATTTCTAGCTCAAATCACTTATTTTTCACCTAGATAATAACTTCTTAGAATCACCTCTCTGAAATTTGCGAGTAGACGGAACTCACAAAATCATGACAACAGAGTAAACTTGAATGCATGTGCAAATTAGGTGTTACTAAAAGGCCCCTATTGGATAGTATGACACCATCCAACATATGATAGTAATGCATACGGTAATATTTCTTACCTATATATTTTATCAGTCTAAAGTTTGATAACTATAATTTTTCATCTCATGTTGTGTCATACTAGTTCGTATATTTATGATAGCCATCATTCTTTGTTAGTTTCGCTACTCATCAAAAAAAAAGAAAGAAATTAAAGATGTGATAAATTAACATTAGATCAGCAAAAGTTTTAATAGCTAATAAACTTGTTAAATTAACTAACTAGAGGGGCTATCAAATATTCTCTACCCACTTTTTTGAAGGACATTAAAGAATATCGTGCACTTACTGAGAGAACCAACCAAAGTTGCTTTTCGAACTAAGTTTATTTCATTTATTTGCGGATAGCACTTCTTTGATTTCAGTAGCTAATACTATAGATCTCAGTAAAATCTTGGGTTAATTTCGGAAAAGACCCTAAATTTATGTGTCTTTTGCTCTTAACCCTCTTGGACCTATCTCCACTCAAACCATCGTGAACTTCGTGATGTGTCACAATACCTCCTAAACTTTATGATTTCCTTAGAGGTCCCCATAACATTGTTGTTGGTATCTTAAAAAGGGTGTATTTGTCTTTTTACTGTCACCAACCATTTTAGAGCTGAGAAAATCTTAGGGTTCAGCCGTATTGTGGCATATCCCAAAGTGTAGTTTAGAGGGTCCGTTGAGAAAATCTTAGACGTCGTAGGGTGTCGTGCACACCCCAAAGTCCGAGGAGGTCAGGGGGTTAGGCGCAAAGCTCCGAAAAGCTCAGGGGGGTTTTGTGAAACTGAACCTACACATATCTACCGTCCTTATTTATAATGAAAAATAGAGGGAGTAATTGTTGAATATTTTAGGAGTTTGGACACAAGGAGACACTAATAAGCCACGTGAAATATTTGGTGAGGTAGGTTTAACGGGTCAAATTCTGGTAAAAAATGTTTCAGACAAAATCAACGCTTAACAGTTGATAACGTGAAAAGGTGAGGAGTGGTTGAGGATGGCGCTAGTCTAGCCTAGTCTAGTTAAGCAATCAATAGACATAGTTTGTTCTAGATTATGTGGCTTAATAAACAAATAATTTGAGAATGTGGGCCTAGCTGGATTAGTTAGTTGCTTTCTTTAGCATGCACCTGACAAAATGTGCATCCCACTACGAATAAAGTTTTGACTAGTATAATAATGATGATGCAACCCAAAGGGAAGCTTCTGATTGAGTCGCTTTAAAAAAATAATTAAAGGAAAAAAAACAAAATGGAGCAAATTTGTGAATAGACCTACTTTATGTTGGTGTTGGCGTTGACGAACCGCGAAACTTCTCAATATCACTTCAGGGTTTTGTTCTTAATGATAAAAGGATAAAAGATAATTACGTAAAGAATGGACACAATATTTTACGTGGAAAACCCAAACGGAAAAAACCACGGGTTGAGCTCGGAGGATACTTCACTATATGAAATCAACAAATGGGTACAAGGCATACACGACACACCCGACAACGCCGACTTCCACACAACCCTCACTCACGCTCTTTGTCTATTAACTCAACATTCGAGATCTCTACAACACAATATACTCTCATTCACTCTAACTCTCTATACTTTCAAGAGAACAAGTGGAAAACTTAGATTACCATTGGATTGCCTTTGATCTCCTCTCCACAATGAGAGCATGCCTTTTTATAGGCATTGATTAATCTTTTCATCTTTCAAAATGCTTGGGAATACACAAATCTGTCCAGATTCGGGTAGGTTACTTTAACTGACCATAACTCCATCCATACTGCTCTGATTTTTGTGATTCAAAGCTTGGAGTAAACTATGCATGTACCTCTACAACTTTCATATAGAGTTCCGAGCCAAATAATGACTACATCATGCCTTAAAAGACCATACAAAATTGTATCTGAATGCAGAAAATTGCAGCAATAAATTTAGTTGGATATTGAGCCAACTCCAACACCTAATCGATTGGATTGAGATAGGACATTGGTCATGTTAAAGTTACTAGAGGGTCTAGTTAGGCTACTCCCTCTAATCCAGTTTAGTTCTGAACTGGAGATTTTAAGCAAAACAAAATAATTAGACTAAAAATTGTTATGGCAAAATCAGTTGATGGGAGATTGGGAGGTTGATCAAAACAAAATAAGACTAAAATTACCAGTTTTAAGTTATGATCTTTTTTTTTTTGTCAAACTAGGTTTAGAACTCAAGCTAGTTTTCTTCCACTATAAAAAGTTCAAGCAGGGTCACCAAACAAGCCCTAAACTTTCAAACACGCACAATATGAATGCCTCGAACAATTTATATAAATATTGACTTTGAAGAGGCTTTACCATCGTAATATGATAGTAATGATACTATCATTTCTGCCAATTTTATGAAGAGGAATACTTAGGAGAACGATGACTTTAGAGATTGACTAGACTTTTACCTCTCGATATTACTTCTTAAACAGTAAATTAAGCAAGAGATCATTTTCATAGCGAAATTGTGTGTCAGAGATTACCTATGCTACTAATTAACAGTTATATATTTCGTGACAATTACATGTATATATATTCTTCCATGTGACTTCGCTCAGAATATTAGTATTAAGAAGTCCCTTAATCCTTTTCTCCTCGTATATAGTTTTTTCTTCAGCTAATCAATTTATTTTCACTCAATAACCAAAAATCAACCAAAAATCTTCTTGATGAAGAAGTTCGAAGCTAGTCACCTTTGACTTGATTTATGAAATGGGTTGCATTTTCCTAAGACCCGGTCATGTTCGAAGATTCATACCTTATTCTATTAACAATATTATTAGAGGTTCTAGATAAGAATAATATTAAAGGAAATTAAGAAAGATATGTGGCAATATTATTGATGATCACATCACATGATTAATAATTAATTAATCTATGCAGTATAAGTAACCTATATTGACTGTAACTGCGGACTGTAGTATGTTTCAAAGCTTGTTGATGAGAAGGATAATGATTTGTTCTCGAACAATTAGAATGTTCTCGTTGATTAATTGACAAACTTTATGGTGTAGAAGGGAAAGTCTCAGCAAAGATCCTATGTAGACTTTCTAAAAGAGCGTTGCTACAAGGACCCAAAATATGGGATCAAAGGAAGGAACAAGTGAGATGTTTCCTTCCTATTGCATAATGAGCTAGCATGGTCAGCTTATTATGTAATAGGAATGGAACACCTCATATGTCCCCTCTCTTGGTCCCAAATTTTGGGTCCTTAAAGCAATTTTCTTTCTAAAATTAAGGAAGAAATTTTCCGTCACCATTTTACCTACGTGTGAGGTGGCTTCTACATATTATGGCCTATGTGTCATTGCAATATTTTTTGCATAAAATAAGCTTCAATTGTTTGGATACCTGCAATTTTATCGTAGAAAATATATTCCCAACGCAAATTCAGTGCTTAGTTTAAAAACCTGTTGATTCAAAACCTACATGACTTTGTCATACAAGGAAAGTCAAGCGAGGAAAATGAGAGAGATTTTTTTTTCTAATGAGATATAGAAACTTTTGCTCCACGCTAAATTGCTTGCAAAAGTTTTTGTTGTATTTTCTATAAATAATAATTCTTTATCTTATCTAATTAAAATTGTTAGAATTAATATAAAACTATAATCCTCAAACCTCACCGTAACTTTTGAGTTTTGGTGTAATCGTTAGAGGGACTACTTGATTTAGGATGGTATCAGAGTAACCCAAATTTGAATCCGGCTGGCCATGAATTTAATACGAATTTAAAAAAAAATTGTTACCACTACGTGAATCACTATAATCCTCTATCATCATCATAACTTCGGAGTTTTGGTCTAATAGTTAGAGGGACTTATTTTAAAGGAAATGTTGCAAATCATCAATGAAATATAAATCCAACTGTAGTATTTACATCTGAACCTCTATTTCCACACAAAATAAACAAAGCTAAGGTGCTTGATCAGTGCTCCAACACAAACTAATGT